CGAACATTCTGCACACCTCAATATGGGAAGAAACCGAACTCTGTAAACAAACTCCTGGGCACGTGACCTCCTCCGAGTCTACTTGCCAGTTCGTTCATCCAAGTGGTGACCAGCTCACGATAGACACTCAGTGACTGCTAATTAACTCAGTGACTGCTAATTAACCATGGAATATTCCATTCCACTGCATGACCAAAGTGCCAGCGTCACTCCTCAGCATAGCTCAGGACCTTGTCCAATCAGCTGTCCCGAACACCCACTTCGGTCCACGGTTCACATTCATGTCATAGTCCTGAGCCCCTGCTCTTCCGCCAGTCTCGACCCAAGGAAGCAGTGGCAGAAATCTCCTGGCTGTTGGGTTCCATGGAGCAGAGAGCCTGAACCCACCCGGAAACCAAGTCTAGACAAAACAGAGCTTTGAGGTTTACACCCACAACCTTTGTGCCGTCAGAAGCAGAGGGTGCCAGGGGATCCACTGGAGGCTCCCTGGGAAGCAGAAGCCAGAGGTGCCGTGCTATTTCTCCATCTGGCCAAGGGCTTAACCCTGCTGAAGACTATTTCTGAGCAGAGTCCCCATGATGAGGGGACCCAAAGATGCTAATGGGGTTGTTTCCCAGGCTTTGTTCTGGTCCAGTGCAGGGCTCCGGTTGTTGATGGTGATGGAAGTTTGCTTTATACTTGGTCTGCTCGGTTGGAGTCCTCTGCCACCCTCTGGCAGTTCACAACCACTAGTCACTTGGAGACCCCTGAACAATAGCAGGACTCTAAAGACTGGGACCCGTGGCTCCTCGGTGAATTCTGAAACTGCTTTGAGGTGCTGCCTAAAGTTCAAGGAGAAGCTTACCAAGGAAAGTGGACTTGGGGACAGCAATGGAAACAGAGACAGTGAGGTACAGGCCACTTGCTATCCTTTGTAGGAAGTTTCAGCTCCTGTTAGCTAGAGACCTTTGCAGAGTCAACATTCTATGCGAGCCAGTGTGGCACCCTGCTGGTCTATGATTCTGTTCAAGGCCCAGACGTAACCAGCCCTTCATGGGCTTCCAGACCAATGAGATTGCAGCCTGGAGTGACGTCCTACCTTGGCTGGAAGGGTCTCCCCACCCAGGCCTGGTGCTGCAGGAAATGGTTCCCATGGGGAGAATTCCTACTGCTCCAGGGCAGCAACTTCCTTGGTGTCATCAGTTTACCTGCCAGTCTCATCTCTGGGAGATGTTTCTCCAGAGTACCAGTTCTCTGGTACCAGTTTCTCTGGCTTCCCTGCCTGTACCCAGAATGATCCCAACACTTATTTCGCCCCTGAAAGCCTTGGAAGGATGCCCGCTTACATTTCTAGTGAATAGCATTTCCATTGGAGGCCCTTCACCCAGGGTTCCCTACAAAGGGGTTTGCTTTTAGGGAAGGGCAAGGTGACCTTGCTTTGTCCTCCTGAAGTACCACATGTGCCTCTCCATCACTGTGCCTGCCACACAATCACAATCCTCCCCTTCCTGTCTCTGCCCTGCTAGCCTAGAAGCGCCTGAAGGCAAGAGCTGTCTTAGAGGCACACTGGGAAAATAGGGGGCCCTGGGTCCTGATGGAGTGAGGGCCCGGCTAGGGCCAGAGGGCCTGGGCTCACCAGCCACTGGGCCTGGATAAACATGATTTTCAAGAGGTGAGTGTAGTCTGGCCCATCTGATTCTCATCCCCACTCCCTGAGAGTGCTATGTTTTTCACCTTGAAAACGAAGGCACACTACCCTGAGCCCTTCACTGCCTTGTCAAGTGGTGGTGTGGCACACGTAAGGGAGCATTGCCATGTGAAAGCTCCCCAGCTCCCTTCATTACGATCATCCCACAGACAGAGGACCATGCTGTGACTCAGAGGCCCAGCTCTTCCTAGCCGTGCTATTCCCTAAGTAAACTTCAGTGAGTTGCTTTATCTCAGTGACTGTGTTTTATCTGTGAAACAGGAGTGTCGGATTGTCAGGGCAAGACCTTGGAACCTTCACTGAGTGGCATGGTCATGGGCATTCCTTCTTATTGTCATTGCTTAAATAAGCACGAAGATACTTTCCTGAAGAATGATGTTTGGAAGGAAGGAACCTAGACTTTGGTGTGGGGTGGGAATGGAGTAAATCCTAAATCCATTCCTTGTTAACAGGCTTGTAAGTGGAATTCTTGCCTAGCAAGATTTAGGATAGTTCTCTAGCTCAGGAGTCGGCAAACGTTTACTGTAAAGGGGCAGAGAGTGACTATTTTTGGCCTTGCAGGCCACAGGGTCTCTACCACAACTGCGAGGCAGCCATGGACAATACATAAACAAATAGACATGGCCTTGTTCCAGAGGACTTTATTTACATCGGGCTGCAGGCCGGATTTGACCAGTCAGCCATGGTTTGCTTACCCCTGCTTTAGCTTATGGGGGGTGCCCAGCAAGCACTTGGGAAATTAATTTGTTGAAGATAGGTGAGTAGAGGCCTCTGCTAGTCCTGTGCCTTGGTTTTAGCTCTGTTTACACAGGACCAGGTTCTGTGTTCTTGCCACTGAGTCACAGCTGCAAGACCCTCACCTCCTGCTAGCCCCACTCCCCCAGCTTTGAGTGATCCCAGGTTCCTTCAAGCCCACTGCTGAGTGGGGAGCAGTTTCTGTGCCTTCCAGGGTCTGTCTCCCACACTGCCACTCCCCATCCAGGGCCTTTTCCCTCCATTCTGAGTTTGTGGGACACACAATTTGTAATCTTCTTAAAACTGAAGAAGCGAGGTCTCTGATTCATGTAGATTAAAATCAGCTGCAACCTATTAATGGTCCAGGGCCCAAGACAGATTTTAGGAAACAAAAACACTGGACCAAATTAGACTGAGCCGGCCTCTGTCTCCAGGGAAGGGAGGTAGCGTAGGAGGCTGGGGGCGGGGGAGTGGCCATGTGGTTTTCATTACTTTGGATTCTCTTCCTGAAGCGAAGTCACCCAACACAAAGCGAATGGAGCGCCAAGGCAGCGGCCAGCCTCTGGAACCCGGCTCTCCCTGGTAGAAGCCCTGGGTCCTGTTGGGGGGCTCTGGCTGGTTGTGTGTCTGTAATTAACAGGTTTCAAAGTGGTTATTTTGGAAAAGAGAATTTCAGTGGCGCGTTAAAATCCTTTCATCAGCCATCAGCTGCCGTCCCAAGGCCTTCAGCAAGGCCTGAGCCACTTAAGGCTTCTGAGAGCTTTAAATTCCCAGGGTCCTGTTTGAGAATTTGTTGGCTTTTGCCATGGGTTTTATTGGGCTGATGGTTGCCATGATTTTCATATGTTGTTTGGTTCCTGGGATCATAAAAATGTTTGCCTCTTCCTAGAGTACCTAGGATCATTAAAAAGAAAAGGAAAAAAAAAGACCCTGCATTTGTAGCTGCTACATAACATACAAACCGTGGCTTCCTTGGGGGAAAAGGGCCAGCTCCGGCTCTGGGCTAGGGAAAATCATCAACCTGGAAGAGACAGGACAAGCAGCCACACCCAGTCTCCACCTCCCTCCCATCCAAGGACACTGAGGCCCAGAGAGATGCTCATCTAAAGCCGGTCTGGAATCCTGGTCCCACTCTCAGTCAGGTGCTCTTTCTCTTCCTGGTGACTTGAGGCTGTGAGTAGAGTTGGGAAAGGTAGAGGAGTCTGAATTCTGCTGGACTAGTACTTTGGGACACCTCTAGGAGTGGAAGAAATGGTCAGATTTATAGGCAGCATAAAGTGAAATGCTGATGTGGACAGAGGAGCAATCCGGGTCAGCACGGGCATTCCCATGGCCAACAGGACAGAGCGCTCCTCTGAGGCTGGAAGGGTTACTGGAGCCTTCACTTGGCACCCACAGCCCTGAGACATGGAAAGAAGGGAAACAGGTACCAAATCCCACAAGCCTCAGAGATGATTTCTCACTGCTTTGAATATGAAACCTCTGAAATCTGGTCAAGCTCCCAGAATCACCATAGGGGGTGACAGGAATTTTGGTTAAGCCAGTATTATCTGATAAGTGGAACACTAACCTGGCTTTACTTCCTATTTTGATGATGGCTACCTTCCAGAACCTTCTTTCATGGAAAACATGACAAAAATTCTGGGAGAATTGCTATTAAATAACCTCTGCTGCTTAAAAACAAGGCCAGACCAGCAGACCTTGCTCTCAGCAGGACACATGTAAGAACTAGTCTACAATAAAGAAGCTGTGAAGGCGTGTTCAGAGAATTAGAGGGTGTCAGAGCTGGGAGGGAAATTGGAGTTCAGCTAGACCAGGCTTTCATTTTACAGATAAGGAAACTGAGGCCTCAGGGCATATCCAAAGTGATCTAGGGGGCAGAGGGAGTCCAGGATTTTCTTGACTATCCCATTCTTCACAAGGCCACTGTTCCCCTTTTGGGTTGATATTGTCGTTCATTCATTCATTCAGTTTTTACTACCTCCTATGTGTCAGATGCTTGTAGGCACTGCTAATTTTGTTTCTTTGAAGTTTTTAGAAGTGGAATAAAAGAGATACATTTCTGTGGACTACATTAAGGGAGGAAAGGAGTTTTTCCCCAAAAATCTAGGTCTGGGGAAAGTCTGGTGACTTTTGTGAGCCTGGGGCATGTTTGGGAAACGCCTGCCTTTTTGGGTGTGCCTTTCAGATGAGTGGGAAATATCAGGTAAAGGGGTGACTTGCCTAGGCTGCCCCCACTTGCAGTGACCCCCGCTCCCAACAGCCACCTGGCAGTGTGGCCCAAAGGAATCTGGAAGTGAACATCAGCAGAGATTCTCTGGATCCAAATTTGAGTGAGGGCTGGCGGGAACCCAGGCTAGCTGGAGGCTGCAGCTTGCATGGGTCTCTCCGTCTGTTTCTCATCATTCTCCTCCTACAGTTTGCTTGTCAGTCCTTTGCTCTTGTTTACCTCTGTGTGGATAATTCCTCGATTATAAATCAGAGAACTTGGCACTGAGTTCTGGATTATCTGTGATCTTTAACTTTCCCAGGGCAAAAGAAATTAAACCAGTGAATCTCTTTGTTTCTCATGGTTCAGCATCCAAATCGTGGAAGTGTGAGTCTGTGTGGAGTGAGACAGCCTGAGCCCACCTCTGCCCTGGCCGCCACGCTCTAGGTGAGCAGTCATGCATCCATGCATTCATTTATTCCCTCAACAAATATTCAGTGAGTACCCATGTGGCACACTCTCTTCTAGAAACTGGAGATACAAGGTTAAAAAAAAAAGGACACTATTCCTTCTTACCTTGTTTGCATCTTAGTATGGGTGACAATAAGCAAACAAACCAACAAACATACATGCTAGTGATCAATGCCTTGAAAAAACGTAAGCCGGGTAAGAGATGGCAGTGAGGGGTGCACTATTTTACACACAGTGGGGTCAAGAAGACCTCTCTGAAGAGGTGACATTTGAGCAGAGATTGGATGAAGAGAGAGTAAGCAATGTTCAACCCAGAAAGAACATTTCAAGCAGAAGGAATAGCAAGGCCTGGGACAGGGACAAGTGTGATGTGTTTGGGGAACAGTAAGGAAGCCAGGGACTGGAGTAGAGCAAACAAAGGGGACAACTATAGTACATTAGGTCAGAGCAGTGGGCAGGGGCCAGCCATGGAAGTGGTGACTTCGGATTTTGTTCTGAGCCTCACAGGATGTCCTTGGAGGTTTTGGAGGGGAGTGATGCAGCAAAGATGAACATTCAGAGGCTATAGAGAGGCTTGTGGAACAACAATGGGCCAGCTTGGGTTAAACATTGGCATTCAGACACATGGCAATGGTAGCTGCACCTCATGGGTGGTGCTTCCAGTGGGAACTTTTGAGAGCTACATGTCTCGACAGGGTGAGGCTGGGCCTGGGAGCTCACTACCTCTACCAATTAGTGTTAAGCCCAGAAAAAGGAAATGCTGCTGTTTAAATTGTAGGGTTGGAACCTGTGAGTCATAGAACCCTCAGCCAAATGGACCATGGTGAGCTCTGGAAGTTACTGGTGCAGGGTCTGAAGCCCCCAGCTGGGTTGTTTTGCCACCCGTGGGGGCTTCCAGACACATTCGGAAGAAGCAGACTCAAATACAAACCCCATATTTAGGGGGTCCAGCTTTATTTTTGGCTGATTGTATACTGTCTGGTCAGTTTCCTTCCCAGTGTCTTTTACTTTGGAAAAGGCAGGCCACCTCACAGGGGTGCAGAGAGAAAAGGGGAAACACATGGATTTGGGGCTCAATCAACCCCAAAACACAACCCTCACCTCATTACTCCGCTGGCTTTTGGAAAAGCTACTGAACCTCCTAGAGCTGTACTGGTCAGTGGAGTAGCTGCCAGCCACGTGGCTATTTACATTTAAAGCAATTTAAGTGAAATAAAATTTAAAAATTTGGTTCCTCAGTTTCACTTACCATATTTCAAGGGCTCAATAGCAACATGGGGCTTGTGGCTACCTATTGGACAGCGAGATGTAGAAGGTTTCCCTCGTGGCAGGAAGCTCTGTTGAACAGTTTCACTTCTTTAAAAAGGAAGCGATCCATGAGAACTGAACAAGTTAACAGGCACAAAGCACAGGGTGCTCTGCCGGTCTCACTCCAGGTGCTCAGCAAATGGTAGTCACTATGATTGATCATGTGAATTTCCATCCTCGCTCTGCTACCGACTAGCTACGTGGCAAGTCATTCAACCTCTCTGAGCCTCTGTTTTCTGATATGTAAAATGGGAATAAAAAGTACCGCGGAGGACATTCCCACAGCATAACATGATCCTTGTTTTTCTCCGTTCTCTCTGGACCCATGAGAACTTCCTTACCAACCCTCAGCTGACTTATCTAGACCAGAGCTTGGAAACTCCAGTCTTGCAGCACTTAGCAAGAAGCAGGACCTACTGTGGCCCAATAATGCAATCTGGAGATTTTGGCCATTCTGAAGGGTTTGACCATGGCTTGTGGTATGGAGTTCTAATGAAACGAGTGGACAAATCTGATCAAGAAAAATAATCATTTGACTCAAGTCGGATATTTACCCTGCTCTGCTCTGAAAGACAGCATGCCTTGGGTTCCCCAGCTCCAGGCCCCAGCTTCCCTGGCTAAACGTTCCTCCTGTGGGCAGGGCTCTCAGAGAGGGGCTCCCAAGCAACCCTTCTAGTGTCTCAGCCTCCAATCAGTTTTCCATTTTCCACTTGGGGTTTTTGTTGTTGTTTAAACGTTTATTAACTGCAGGCATTTGGCGGTGGAAGTTGGGATTTGCCTGAGGCTGGGAGGAAGTTATTTGCCAGGCCAGGATAAGGTGTGGTTTAAGGGTTGAAACTGGAATCCCCTTCACCTGCTTAATGCATTTCAGGGGAGATTTGTTTTCAACTCCCAAATTACCTGCTAGGAATTCTAGACCTGAGATCCTATCTCACTGGCTGTTTTCTTTCATTTTCGAAAAGAAATACAAAGAAAAAAGAGTGAAAGGCTCAAACACGACATTCTTGCACTCTCTTAAATAAAATTACATACAGTGAGTGATTTTCTTCCCTGTCTTCTATAAAGCGGTAAGGGGAGGGCCTGACCTAGCCCGGAAAACTTCTGTTCCTGGGGAGGTGCGGCTGGGAGCTGCAGAGAGCAGGTGATACTAAAGACATTTCTTACGTGCTTATTGGCCATTTGTGTATCTTACTGAAATATAATTTATTTTCAAATATTAATTTTATGCCCAGCAATCTTACTAACCTTTCCTTTAGTTTAATAATTTATTTGTAATTTTGGGGGTATTTTCTATGTACAAATCACACAAAGGTTATGGGGAGTGTTAAAACTCATAATGGAGTCTCCAGTAAAGTCAAGTTCAGAAGAAACAGCTAGAAGGACCTGTGTCCAAGCTTGTGGAGGGTAAGTGAGCAAGAAGTTGCCTAAATGATGGTATAACTATGAACAAGAGGACAAAGATAGACAGCGAAGACATTTCAGACATATGGACCAATAATTTCTTTTCTTCCTTTCTTTCTTTTGTTTTTTTTAGAGAGACAGGGTCTTCCTCCCTCTGTCATCCAGGCTAGAGTGCAGTGGTGCAATCACAATTAACTGTAGCCTCCACCTCCTGGGATTAAGCAATCTTTCAGCCTCAGCCTCTCAAGTAGCTAGGACTACAGGTGTGCACCACCATACCTGGCTATTTTTTTTCTTTTCTTTTAGAGATGGGGTCTTGCTATGTTGCCCAGGCTTGTCTCAAACTCCTGGCCTCAAGTGATCATCCCACCTCCGCCTTCCGAAGTGATGGGATTACAGGTATGAGCCACCCAGCTGGACCTCTCTCTTTCTTTCTTTCTTTCTTTCTTTCTTTCTTTCTTTCTTTCTTTCTTTCTTTCTTTCTTTCTTTCTTTTTTTTAAGATGGAATCTCACTCTGTTGCCCAGGCTGGAGTGCAGTGTGGTGCGATCTCGGCTCACTGCAAGCTCTGCCTCCCGGGTTCACGCCATTCTCCTGCCTCAGCCTCCCGAGTAGCTGGGACCACAGGCGCCTGCCATCATGCCCGGCTAATTTTTTGTATTTTTATTAGAGACAGTGTTTCACCATGTTGGCCAGACTGATCTCGATCTCCCAACCTCAGGAGATCTGCCCACCTCGGTCTCCCAAAGTGCTGGGATTACAGGCATGAGCCACCACGCCCGGCCAGGAAGCTGGACCCATTTCTTTAGGCTGGAAACTTTAAAATATTTTGGCTATAAGTACTCCTTTATATGCTTAACAGTTGTTGACTGATGATCTTGAGGAGCCTTGGTTTATGTGGGTTGTATCTATTGATAGATCCTGTGGTAGCCAGCTTCTAGAATAGCCTCCAAAAATCTTACCTCCTAGTATTCATGCCCTTGTGTAGTCTCTTCCCAAATTGAATCAGAGCTAGTCTATGTGACAGGTAGAAAATGGCAGAAGCGATGGTAGGTGATTTCAGGGGCTAGGTTATAAAAGGGACTACTTGTTCCCACTTGGCCTCTATTGTTCACTCTGGAGAAAAGCGATTCCTGTGTTTTGAGTACCCCAGGGGAAGACCTACATGGAGAGGAAGGAACCAAGGCCTCCTGTCCACAGCCAGCAACACTGGCCTGACTTATAAATGAGCTATCTTGATGGCCGATCCTCCAGCCCCAGTTAAGCCTTCAGATGACTGCGACCTCCTGAGAGGCTGCCTAGCCAGAACTGCCTAGCCAAGCCACTCCTGAATGCCTGAACCACAGCAACCAGAGATAACAAGTGATTCTTGTTGTTTTAAGCCACTAGGTTTCAGGGTACTTTGCTATACAGCAATAGATAATTAAATAATTTACCATATTAAAAACTAAAACCAAAAATAATATTTGTTCATTTAATACATATTCATTGTTAATGAATAAATTAACATTTAGTAATTTATTAAAATGCATATATTCATTAATCCATTTAAATGTTAAAAATAACAACATTTTATTATAAAAATAACTTTTTTTAAAAAACCCACGTGAGAAGAGTGACAGTGTTTTACATTTTTGCAAATCTCTTGACTGTCTGACTTAATAGAAGACAGCTGGATTCTCATATCAGCTTCTGCATTCAATCAGCTGTGATAATGTTGTTTTGCTTGAAGTATGCGAAGGAAACCCAGCCTCACATAGATATTTTGTTGGAAAAGGGAGGAATATTTTAATAGTCTTTTCAGATAATTGTGAATATTCTTGTTTGACATTATACCAAAACTCAGCCAATAGTAGATTACAAAGGTTAGTTGCAATGTGGAATCTGAAACTGTATCAATGAACTTTTTGTGCTCAGTTATGTTAAAATTCAGTTGTCTGGCTTGTACTCTGAATAGATCTTTTGCTCATGTATGATTTTGTAATAATATGCATGGGTCATTTGGAAAATATTGCTTCACTAAGTCATGCGGATTTTTTAAGTTCGATGCATTTCATGATGAAAACTAAAAGTTCTTATTTGTTAATATCATCACTGATCTCATCAAAAACCTCTATAAGTGTTGGGAAGGTGTTAAGTTCACTATGGCAGATACAGGTTTTAAAAAATTCTAATTTTTGCTTTATACTTCTATTTTGGCAGAAAATACTGTCAGTTATTTTCTTTCTTGAAGTGATGAGCTCAGTTTTTTCATTTTTGAGAAAATGCCTGTCAAATAACCAAATCTGAATAACCATGGTTACTTGGTCCTTTTGAGTAAACATTGTGTTCCATGAAAGTGGCTAGTGCAGATCACAACTCAGGACACTCACACAAGTGCTTTTCCTCCAGATGACTGGCATACTTTGGGATGCACTGGAAATGCTTGATACTTTGTTTCCAAGTCATCACACAAAGAGAAGGGAAGGGAAGGGAGAGGGGGGAAGGGAAGGAAGGATACACTTTTGGGCAAGATTTTATAAAATAAATAATTTTTAATGTCTAATTTAGGACATTCTTCAGTGAAACTGGCATTATTTTCCACCTGTAAGTTTGTAGCAGTGAAGAATACCATGATTGCCAGCGTAGTTCAGCGCCAGCAATTTTACCCAGATGTCAACACAGTGAAGAAGGCAAATAACATCTTGGTATTATTATGAAAATAGTTTTCAGCTTGCAGACACCCTAATAGGGTCTCAGGGATCCCAGGGGACTGCAGACCTCACTTGGAGAATCGGTGCTTTAGGGAGATGGCTGCCATTCTACTACTTGTAGCATTTACAGGTAAATGTGCTACATGCTAAGACATATATGTACCAAGTCTTTGGGCAAAATTGTAATCACCATTTATTGCATAAACTAGAAAACATATCATTAGGTATCAGCTTATTCTTGTAGCTGGACTAGATATGAGACAGGTGTTTTATTTAAGGGGGATTTTTTATGGTTTTATTTATCTCACTTGTCAAAGGTATATGGATGGTGGTGAGGAAGCTAGGCTCTAAGCCATTTCTGAAACTGTCAGTGTTGAATAAATAAGATACATAAGGAAGCTAACACTTGCACCCCTTCCTCTGTAACTCTTCTACCGCCTTGATCCAGTGAGCCCTGAAAGCTCAGGGGGCTGAGGAAAACATCCTTTTTAGAGCAGCAGGGTTCCCTCAACTCCAGTGTAGAAGTGGGCAAAGTTCTCACATTGGCAGTGCCTGCAGCATGGGACAAGAGAAGCAGCCGGCCCCCGAAGGCCGCGTTTGTTCAAATGGCCGTGGCACCTGTGAGCACTGTACTGCCGTGGAAGAGCTCAAGTCATTGCCTCTGCTAAAGTGCCTCTGAATTCCTACAGAGTGGACTTAGAGCAAGACAGGGTGGGGACACAGTTGTTTTCCATTCTTGTTCAGTTAGGCTTACACATCCTCTCACTCCCAAAAGGCAGAGTAGGCTTGCGCCCCACACCTGACTGGGCTCAGCTCTTTGGCGAGTGATTGCGTAGCTGTTCTGCCTGTGACTACAGGCCCTGGTCTGCAGGCGGGAAACAACAGGCAGTTGTGTCCTGAGCCCTGGGAACTGGAGATCTTTCCACATCTGTTCGCCTAGTCGGGGGCGGGAGGAAATCACCAGAACCTTCAAACATGGGGCCAGAGCAGGGAGACAAAGGGAAAGCCTTAAGCCGATGGTGACCCCGGGTCATATGAGCCCCCCCCCAGGCGCCCCCCCATCCCCTTTCATCCCCTCAGGTCCCCGGCACTCAGCCTTTTCATCCTTCTCCAGGTCAGCAGGATCAGGTTAATGTGAGTTGACCAGAAAGCTTATCAAATGAAGGCAGGGACAGGTGTTTGAAACCCCTTCCCTGCTGAAAGCTGGGTTGAACAAGGTTAGCAGTGTAGCTGAGGCCAACATCCTACACTAATTGCATTTTCTTTCCTGGAGCTCCTTCTCTTCCCCTTCCTTGCTCTCTGGTTTGGAACCCCTCAAGGTCTCTGAGAGCCGGTAACCAAAACAAACCGTTCAAAAAACGAAGGATTTAGGGGAAAAAATTAGGGGATGTGACATTCTAGACCGAACAGTGGCCCTTCTATGCCAGAGCCTAGGAACCAGCATTTGGAGGCCACTTCCACCCAGTGGGCATGCTGAAATCAGTTACTATGGGCTTATCAGAACTGATTGCACAAACCTTTTCCCAACTTCACAATCATGATGTCCTATTTGTAGCTTGAGTTGACCAAGGTGGGAATATTTGTACCACAGAAATCAGCAAGCTACAAACCAGGCTTTTCCACCTCCAGAGCCAGTTGTTAAACATTTACCGGCACACCAATGCCTCCACTGTAGCTACTGTCACTCAAAGTATGATTCTCAGACCAATTACATAGGAATTTCCTAGAGATCAGAAATGAGGTGGGGCAGGAGGGTTGTTATTTAACATGCAGATTTCCTGGCCAACCTGAATTAACTGAATCAGAGTCTCTGGAGGTAGAGCCTGGGGAAATGCTTTTTAGCAAGTCCCTAAGGTTATTAATAAATTCAGTAGAGTTTGAGACTTCAGCCTGAGGGAATAGGAGAAAAGAGTGGGTGTGCATCTGACTCTTGGCATCTGGAAGGAACAGCTGGCTTCAGTCCCAGTTGGCCTAAGAATGGACAGCTGTTTTCCCTTGAGATAGAAACTTCATGACAGGAAAAAGAGGTGGGAATTTTGGGGTCTCAGCTACCCACTGACAACACAACTGGTTCTGCCTTAGATCTCAGGATGAACCCATTTTCCAACTTGAGACTTTGACCCAAGACAGCATGAGCAAATGCCCAGATGTATGTACAACGTGGAGAAAGTCACCATCATTTGCACCAATGGTGGGGCCAGTGGAGCCAGGGAAATCCCAGAGTCAGTTTTCCATATTAGATTGCCCAGCACAGCATTTCTCCTTCAGATTTGTCTAGACATTATCAGGAGCTTTCACAATCAGGCATGATTTTGTAAAGCGAAGACCTTGTTGACTTCATCCCACTGAGCTGGAAGAGAGGGTCTTTTAAGGCAGAAAGAAAAAGAGAAGAAAAGGAGAAGAGAAAAAGTTTCTTTGCCTAGATGTAAAACAGAAAGTTCATAAGGAGCTTAACTCTGCTTTCGACTTGTTTTGCACCTGCCTGAGGGAGTGGTTT